TAATTTTTCCTTTTACAATTGCAAATTTTATTCTTCATGATGATTTAACTCCAGTCCCCGTTAAAACATTATTAACATTTTGCTTTCAAATTACTTCAAAACATCTTTCAAAAATATACTTACCAGTATGGATTCACACTTTTAAAATAATTCTACTTTAATTAAACTTAGGAGATAATATAATCAATTAATCAATACTGTTTCGAAAATAAATTATATAACATATATATATTATATGTTTGTTCCCCTTGACAAGTCAATTAATCTACGGTACGGTCAATGACAATAACTACCTTTTCAGTGATTTAAATTTTACTTTTTAGGATTTTTACGGTTCAAAATATTATTTTTAAATTTTTTAAAAATCTTTTTTAAGGAATTTTTATAAAATTCTTTTAAACGTTTTTTCTGCAATAGAAATCTAAATTACTTATATTTAAAATACTGACTAAAGTTTATTCCAGTAACTTGATCGCTTTAATTAAATTTCTGTTCCTTGAAATGATATATGAAAAACCGTTTCTAATAATGTATATATATATAATGTTTGGTACTGTTGATTGCAGTGAAAAGGAAAGGTGCAGAACTCAATGTTATAGCAGTTTCATATACTAAGTTTCAATTCTACTGCTAATCATTTTAGCGTTATGTGAGATATATACATATGTAGTTACGTACGTACAGACGTCACGAAAAAAAAATCCCTTTTAAATCCATTTTACAGTCGTTTTAGAAAAAATCTGATGTGTACACCACATAACTTCCTTGTACGGAATATTAAATTATACGCCTTTTTTCTTGCATTTCGTTTAAACTTATTGGATTGAATTAAATCTACTTCGCCAACAGCGCATAAACCACAATAGGATAAATGCATTCTTTAAAATTCACTCCATTTGTTTACAATAGCGACACTCTGGCGCGGAGTTCACTTAACAGTATTATATTTTGTTCAAATTATAACTCAGAATGTACAAAATTTATATCATTTAAAGAATCATCTAATCGTTGCCACATGTTCTATTCAAATACTATAACCGATGTATAAAAAAATTTAAGCAAACAAAACAAAAAAGAAATAGTTTTTCACAGACGATTGAGTATTTCTCATTCAATTAATTCAGTTCTCACTTCGCGACAAGGCAAAAATACATAAAAACTCAAAATATCTGTATTAAAAATTACGAAGTAAATCTTAAACACTTATTTCCTCGAAAAAATTCCAAAAAGGATTAAGCATGATTTAATTCGCAATAATAAATGAAGCCGTTATTTTTGTTGTTGCGAAGCTACGTTTATCTAGATTGGCAACAACTCTGCTGCTTCAAATGTAAACAAGGAATGGCCGCCATTAAAAAAAGGCTTAGCGGCACTTGGACAACTTTAAAATTGTTGATAATTCTAAAACTATTGCATACAGATTTACTAAAGGCATAAAAACCTTAACCAGAAGATAAGAACAACATAATTCAATCATTTTTAAAGCAAAAAATGTATAATTTACAAACATATAAGAGTAAAAGAAACTGAGATCACTGAGCCGGGTAAACAGAGTGGATATAGATAATATACTATAAATATATTTATATACGTTTGGCGCGGCCAATTGCAACCAAAATACGAGGTGCACATCTACATGTTATAGTAGTCCTATATACAAAATTTCAACGTTCTGAGGCTACTCGTTTTTGAATTATGTGAGATATGTACGTACATACGTTCGTACAGACGCCACGAAAAATTCTCTTCAGAATTCATTTTAAAGCAGTTTTATAATTTTTTTGGAGGAAACGAGTCTTTTATTCTGTCCTTACGTACAGATATCACGCAAAAACATCGTGAAATTGCATTCGAAAGTGGTCAAAATGGATATTTTCGCTGAAATATGCTGCCTGAATCTTTTTGCGATTACAATACTTCGAGTATTTTATCCTGTTCGTATATACAGTGGTCAAGTAAAAACATGGTTCGAGTTGATTCGGGAACTGTCAAAATGGATGAAATCTGATAGCCGAAACTTTTCGCGATTATATACTTTCTACGTTTGAATTAGTTCTGTTTCTGCGATTCCTCTTTCTGCGTTTTTCAAAAATCTTCCTGTTCCCGCGAAATTGGAGAGTACAGTCCTCCTCCGACAGCTCTTCAGGAGATGTCACAATGAGTTATTAAAAAGAGTTGTGCGTTTTTTTTTTTTTTTTTTTTTTTTTTTTTTTGTGAATAAGTTAGTTTTTGTTAGATTGAAGACGTATCTTAGTTTAGGCTCCTCTCGAAATCGTTAGTTTCATTTTGTATGTAATTCTGCTATGATATTAGCTGCTATTTTCACATCTTATGTTAATCAATATGTATGTTTTAGACATTATTAAAACTAAAAGGAAGAAAAAAAACCTTTTGCCCTTTATAAAGGTTATCAATAACGAATTCGGAACAGATATATGGAAAATGTAGTTTATTGGATTTTTATAAATGAAAAGGCGCAATTGAGATCAAAGCAGAAGTCGTTTTAGAAGAAAGAACGTCATTTTAGAACTTTATTTTTGAACGAATATTTATTCTGAAAAATTTTATTATAACTTACCTTTATGAAGAATTTTATAAGAATGTTGTTTTTACTTTAGGAAACAATCTTTTAGTTCATTGCCAAAATCATCGCACAGTTTGAACATCTCTCTCTCCTTTTAAACACAGTACTAGCTTCAATCATGCAAAGCACCGAGATGGTAAATATATTTCGAAATTTCTTTTAAAAACTTTTTTTTTTTTTTTTTTTTTAAGTCTAAAAAATGTTTGGCTTTCCTCTATTTTGGGAGAGGCCAAGGTCTATTCGGTCCCTCACTATGTATCCCCTTTGGGAAGGGGGTAATAAAAGTTGATGATTTCACGGAAACCGGAAATTTTTTTACAACCGCAAAAACAGGAAGACACCTTTGTACAAGGAAGTTAAAAAAAAAAACCTGCTCATTCAGGATTTACATTTATTTTGGCATAATTTTGGTGTTTAGTATAATTTAGAGTGTGGAATCGAACTATGAAAAAAAAATCGGTATGTCCTTATAGAAAAGTCCGTTTTTTGTGTCAAAATGTACTGTGTTAGAACAACGCTAATAACGTATAAATCTTTATATATTTCGAAGTAGCGCTTCTGAGACATGAGCATTGCAAGATTAATTTTGTCGGTTGGCCAAATAGTATACGAGAAATATCTTATAACTAAAGATAAAGGCATCTTCTTTTTTTTTTTTTTTTTTTTTTTTTTTTTTTTTTTAACAACTTGCTGTAAGTTTTCTCAAACATTTATAGAACATTACGCATACTTACAAATTGTAATCCTAATTACATGACATGTAATATGTGACATGAAAATGCTCTTTTTTGCCCTATGCATCCATTTCGCCATAGCTAGAAAATTATCCAATATTTCCAAAATTCGAAAAATTCATATACATCTATTTCGATTTAGATTATTTTTTAGCATGTTTTATAAATTAAGCAACCAAAAGTGTGGAAACTGATGATAAATATCAAAACTTGAATAAAGTTTTTTTATGTTAATAAATAAATACTTAACATTTAAATAAAGACTGACCACATCGAATCTAGGAGTTTTAGTTTAATACAAAATTACTTAGTATAAATTTTCTTCAAAATGGTATTTATTTTTTCTGTTTAGAACTATAAAGAGGCATATTGTTGCCATTTAACTCTCAACAACATGTCATGGTAAAATAAAAGGTACTTGCGTATTATCGCACCCATCTTAGAAGTAGCCAAATTTTCTAAATGAGCCACAGTCCGGCAGCCATGAGCAAGTAATGTAACCAAGGTCATAACAATCCCTCATTACATATGTCTTCTTTTTGTTGTATTCCAATTTCCAACGGTTTTTATAAACAAATCGTAAATTTTTTTGCCTTAAACTTAATTTTAAAATATTCGCTTGTGGAATTTGTCAGCAATGGAAGAAAGTGCAAAACATTTCTGCAGGAATACAGAATTTTGCTGAAAATCTCAAAAGGGAACAATGAAAAGATGCCCTTGAAGATAGTCGGTGTTGCCGAGGTTTGCGGGATGCCGAGTCTCTGCAACTCTCTGATTTATTTAAAGGAAAACAGCTTTTAAGATTATATAAATACCTCTTTTGAAAATATATGAAAGAAGTATGTTGCCATTCCGGAAAGCAAAATGTGTTTATTTGTCTTCGGAATTTAATAAAGAAACTAAAGGATTTTAATAGAAACATGTTACCACTGGCCAAATTAAAATATTTTTAAGTTTGTTATTATTCAGCAAAGCGTAAGATTTTAAATTTTTTCTTTCAAATTTACTGAAATTAACTTATTATTAATGAACAAACTGAACGATTAAAAAGCAAAGACTCATTTCAGTTATTATTAATTATTAGCTGGAACTGTGATATTACACTAGCTGTACTCAAATTCATAAATATATTTAAATTTCTTAGTGACCTTAATTTATTATAAGCTTTTTCAATATTATTATTAAAATTCTAAATTACAATCAATGGCTCATAATTTTTTTCACTTTCACTGTTTATTGCTTTACTGTTTTATATTGTTACCTGACATATTTATGGATTATTTAGCATTTCTTCGCATTTAACATTTTTTGAGTAGCCATATTTTTTCATTGTTACAAAGATGCATATTAAAAACTTTAGAATTCTACATTCTTAAAATTGTAAAATATCTTTCTACAAATGTACAATTTATTCTGCATTTACTAGCAATGCACATTGAATTCTTATAATTATGATTTTAAATATATTTTGGTATTATCTTAATTCAATCTGGTGGCAAATAAAGCCATATTATTTAAAATCATAAAAGGCAGTGCTATGATATTATTCGTATTTATTTTTCTCTTGATTATTTATCATCTAACTATAATCTATAATATGTACCATATAAGTTAACCCTATATGTGTAAGTGAATATATTTATTTTTCTCATTTCATTTTATTATATTTTTGGACTTGCCAGAGCTTATAGCTAGCTCAACTACACTAAGTTTCTCTCTAGTGCTTCATCAGCTTAGAGCTTCGTTTTTCTCCCTGGTAAGTAGCAAATATTCAGAAGTGCTCAAAATTTTCAAACGAAACATCGCAATCTTCTTAAACTGTTTTTCACAATAATTTAGCATCTGTAATACATCATTTAATAGAAGACATATTTACCCTCTTAGGAGACATAATATATTATGAAGACATATAAATTTCACACTATGACATGCGAATTTACCGATAAGGTGATTTTCAATTTCTTTCTCTCTCGCTCTAAAATTAGATCCTTTCTCATTTTTTTTAACTACGTTTAACATGGGCTTTTTATTTATTTATTTTTTGTCCTATCTTTTTTTTATCTGGCCTTTAAAATTCGTATAAAAATACGAAGTTTACTTTCTCTGAAATGTGAAATTGCTGTATACCTTTCAATCGCACCTAGGCTTGAGTTTTCGCCCTGTGGGCGGAAAGACTAAATAGGGCGGAGTGGAGATCTGTTATGTTCTTAGATGAGGGCCATTTTTGTCTTGATTGCCAGTGATAGTGGTATGTCGGTTAGAAGGAGGTCAGGTGAGCGCTTAAAACCAAGCTGTGTGCTACGTAGACACATTACGTGTATATCAGAAGTTATTATGGGAAGCAATTTCCTGTGACATCCCTTGACAGCAAATATGTGCATCAGGCAGGTGATTGTACCAGTTTTACTGCCATTCTTGAGCAATATTCTAGATGGCATTTTACAACAGGATAACGTTCGTTTCCACCCAGTGCTTTCCAGAGAACACCAGGGACAAGGTGTTCCCAGACCTGGATTAACCTTTTCAAGACCACAACTGCCCGAAACAGCCGAAATTACGATGTCGTTCTCTTTCGTTTCCCTAAAATATGCAGTAGTATATGCAGTTTCCCCAAATGCATTTTATCAGTTGATTGCAGACAGTGTGTCCTAAAAGGATTTATTATGGTTTCTTATCTTTATTTGTTAGGAAGTAGAAAGGATGGCATTAAAAATTTTCACACCTTTTTGTGCATTAATAAATGGGGAGGGGAGGAAATTGCTGTGAATATCGAAAGGCATTTCAGGCGTTTCGTTATTTTAAGCCCCATATAGGTTAGCGAAAGCTTCGGTTATCAAAGTCCTACACGTTTATAATGCCGCAATCCTTGGAAGCCATCCAAGAGGGCATAACCAGCCTTGTCAACCCAAGGGGACCCCCAAGGACAACCTTCGATATCAAACCATATAATATCCCCACGACCAAGGGGCAGAACAGACGGTACCAATATAGTCCACGCTACCACCAAATAAACGGTTCTAGTCTCTGTGAAGACCGGTTATTGACACCAGAAGTCGAGTCTGTCTAAGTACAGGTCCTAACTGGAATGCTAGGAGTTACCCCCTAGTCGATCTGCCGGCGTGCTCCACAGAGTGTCCGCATGTCGCCTTGGCCTGAGAAAACACTCGATCTTTCTCCCAGCGAGCACATATGGGACATAACTGGGAGGCAAATCCAGCGTCCTCCACAACCAGCTCGGAATATTGCTTATTTGAGTAACGAAGGGCAACAACCATAGAATGTAATCCAAAAAAATGATATACGCCATCTGTACGACACAGTGCATGCTTTATATTCAGTATTATGGCGAATACAGTGGTTATGAATGTACCAGCATTTCGCATTTCAAATTGTTCTTATCATGCATACTTTAGCGTATGATCTTGAAATATTAATCAAAGAAATATGTTACCTAGACAAATGTTTTGTTTAGATTTCCTTTGAACTAATCTCTTCTTGGTGTTGTGATTTCATTTTTCATCTGTGTATTTAACATTAGCGAAATTTTAGATAATTCGCAAAATTAATCTCCGAAATTTGTAGCGCCGTAAAGTTACTGCCTTATTTGTCATCCATTTAGCTCTGAAAATGTCGCTACTGTGGGAAATTTGTAACCCCCCCCCAACGGTTAGATACTTTGCTAGCTAAGCATTTGTCAGGAGTGGCCAAACTCATCAGTCATTTAGCAGTCTTATCACCAAGAAAGTTACTCAAAGTGCACCAGGCTGGACGACCAAATTATATCTACAGGAGGAGGGGAGAACTCAGTCTCAGTCCTGATAAAAAGCATTTTGAGGAACAGGCCCAAAGATCTACTTCTCTTCTCCTAACAGCAATCTCTCAAGAGGACTTTCTAATCGATTTTTAGTTCCCAATGCTATACTAAACACTCGCAGACATTTATGCCTTCTGCGGATTTCGAACTCGGGACTAGGACTATGGCAGTCGACTTTTTGCAACTATGCTAATAGAGCGGCTAAAGGTATTTAAATTATATTTCATAAGCCTTCGAGCGTAGTCTGGTCTTAGCTTGATCATCAAGACCAGTATCATTTAGAACCTTCAAGTTTGGTAGCACCTAGTCTATACTTGATCACCTGTAGTAAAGTTCAGATGTTTTACATGTTTAATACAATCCTACTCAACAAAGCATAAGATCTACAGTTTACCTTTAAAATACACTGACTACCAATAAGTATTTGGACTCCTATGCAAATGACGATATCTGCGGCCCTAAGGTACATCACGGACTCCGCAGGTATATATCGTGTAGGAAACAGCATCGGCTTTAGTCGCATGCAAGATGCCTCGCAGTTTGGAGCTCTCTGATTTCGAGAAAGGTATAATTATCGGGTATCACAAATGTGGCCGATCCTTAAGGGACATATCTAGCGATCTGAAGTACCCAAAATCCACAGTGGCCTGTGTGATTAAGAAGTGGAAGGTGTAGGATTACTTGCCTATCGAGAACCTCTGGGACGAATTGCATCGCCGAATTCAGGGGTGCTCTACCCGTGCAAAATCGGTGAAGGAACTTCTATGTCTTCTCCAAGCCAAGTGGAAGAAAATAGCTGTCATACAAAGACTTGTGGAAAGTATGCCCCGCAGGGTCCACGCTGTAATTACCTCTCGTGGAGGCTCTACCAACTATTGATTTTAAATAAAGTTAGTTTTTCTTTTCTATCACCAGTTGTCCAAATACTTATTGGTAGTTAGTGTATAATCAATGTGTTATTGATTACAAAACTGAGTGATTTAAAAGAAATGCCTATATTAAAAATTTAATCTTAATTTTATTATTTTATTAACGTATCTAATTGAGGTTATTAGCTGAATATCCAATCTGTAACATTTATGACTATTTATAGTAGTTTTATAATTAATAACAGATAGTTTAATACCATATGTTTACATAACTCGAAGAGAATTTCTTATGTAATATTTGACATTTTTAATTTTAAAAAATGTTTTAAAAATATGTAATGGTTTGAAGTGTATTTGAATGTTTGAAATTTTTAATTCTTCGAAGTAACTAATCCAGTATAAAATGTTGGACTGGATTTCTTGTCTTTTTCTGTCTTTATAAGTGATTTTTTTTTTTTTTTTTTTTTTTTTTTCAGAAGAGAGAGCTTGCTAAAAGGTTTGTGGAGGCTGTTAAAACTAATGACGTTAACACTGTGAAACAAGTTTTGAATGAAGGTTTGAATTCAGATTACAGATTCGCCAAGGGTGGGACACTCCTGACACTGTCTATATACTACCGAAGACCTGAAATAGGTAATTTTAGCTACGACATTTCATGTTTGATTAGTAATAATCTTAGAGAACTGTTAAAAATGAAATTAATTGTAAAAGTAACTAAGTAAAAAGTAATTGAAAAAGTGGATATGTTTTAGAAATTTCTTTGTTATAAATGTCACACATAAAGATTTGAAGGCAATGAAACGTGTTATCTTTATTTCTTCAGAAGTATTTATTTCCCCAGAATTCGTGTGTAATAATATACCAAAGGGTGTAAGCTCTTTTTTTACTTGGAAATGTTCAGTAATTAATGTTCTTACCTCTCCTGTCTAAATACTTATGCCATCGGATTTTATTCATGCCGACAGAGTTTAACAGTAAATAATAATTTTAAAAAACTCTGCACGTAATCTTACCGTTACAAAATCAGGAATGGAGAATGTAATATACTCAATAAAAAGAAGAAAGTCTGCTCCAAATACACTTATACAACTAAAAAAAAAATATCATAACATTTTGATCTAAACAATTTTTTAAAATAACAAAATCTTGTGGACATCAGATTTAACAATAAATGCAAACTGAAAATGCTATTAAAATCTTACAAGTCTGCAAGTTCATTTTTCTGTAAACATATTGTAAGGAATGATCTGATTTTTTCTAGAAATAACTGAAAGAGATCACAGTTCTGTAAAATCTTTGCTTGAATATCATAATCGTAATCACAATACTTTGCAATCCTTAGCTTGAAAGTCTTTCGCAAAAATTGTTGTTCTCAATATAAAATCAAAATTTTCATTTACATATTCATGAAATTTGTATTAAAATTAATTATTTAACTCTTATAAAATAATTCATATTTTTCAATTGTAAAGCAATTTAAAATGGAATTCAGAACTAAATAAACATAGAAAATTCAGTACTATAATAAAATAAACTTTGACAAAATGGGCAAATCCTCTACAATGCAAATCAGCATGACAACTTGCTGATGGCTGTGGGATGCTTAAATACAATTACACGTAGAAGCCTTCGTTCGTTAATAAAGGTAAATGGCTTCCAGAATTGTATAATTATCAAAGTTTGCATTTATAATTTATGGCCATAAAAATCATCAAACTAGTTAAATAAAATGAGAAACAAATACACAAAAATTAAAGATATATAAAATTCTACACTGCCTTACAATAATTGGTTCATATAGTTTTGTGAATATAAAATAAGAAAATAAATAAACTGTATAATTCTATCTGTTTAAGAAAGATCTTTTACAACTTTTCAAATATAAAAATGTTTAATATGTCTGTTAATTATAACCACAAAACCACACGAAATTTCAAAATAATATAATGTAATTAATTTTTCATTCCAAACATCCACATTTGAAATAATATTACTATTAGATTTTCCCTTTTTATCGATATTTCTAATTTACTTACCACACAGCTTTCTCTTGATACAAACATTTCAACTTAAAGGGCAAATTCACATTAACGAATTAGTGTATAAATTTTCACCAATGGTTAGGGGATGCTTGTGGCAGTTACTTATAAAGGCCTTCGTTCCTTGTTTAAGGGCAACGGGCCTTTTTGAACTGCACTATTAAATTCCATAAAAAATTGACTACATGCCATTATATTAAACAATTATTAGCTACGAAAAAAATAAAAGTGGGAGCCTTCAAAATTTATCTGAGCAAATAATCATCCATACATTTTAAAATCATCTAACATAATCCCATACTACTTATGATAATTATTTTATATGTTATTACACTATTCCCTGTCGAAACATTTAATATTTTCTACAGCAATAATCAGAAACACTTTTTGTTTATCAAATTTCATAGCAGTTTTTCAAAATGACTTCATTCACTTAAAAATTCTTATCAACAATTCAAAATGTTCAACATAAATTCAAAATATAATTATTTATAATATCCTTCTCTAAAAATAGTGTTATGTATCTTAAAATTCGTTACTTAATTTTATCACACATAATTATAAAATGTTAAATCTTTTGAGAAATATTTTCATATTTTTGTAAAACTGCACGATCAAATTGCAGAAACTTTAAGCAACATGTAAATGGAAAATTTGGAGTTCACAGCATATTTAGTAATTTTGTCTCATCGGAAAATAGCCCTAAGTTCACATAATAATATGTGAACTTATTAAATTAATAATTTTGAGCTAATATTATTAAATAATATTAACTTATTAAATAATAACACTTATATTATTATTATTATTATGTGAACTTATTAAAATAATAATTTTGCGTTTTCATCTGACGAAATGCTAAAGCGGAAATGCAAATAATAATTTTCTGTCGCACATACTTGAAAGCAAAGCAGAGATTCATGACCTTGAATCCATTATATGCTGAATCTCCTAAGCCGGGGTTCCCAAACGTTTTTAGTACGCAGCGCACTTTCAGTTTGGTTATTTTCTTTAAGGCGCCCTTGTTGCAATATTTCTGCCAAAGCCATAATCAGGCACAGAAATATAAACAACATCTTAGTGAAAAAGTATAATAATTTTAATTGAACAGAAACATAAAAATAAAGGAAACATTGTGACATGTGAGCTTCTTGATGCCCGTATAGTTTTAAAATCGCGGAAGATGATTTGAGACAGGTATTCTCCTTTTTTGCTCCACATTGATTTTCGAACGATATTTAGTCTTTATTAGAGCGACAGCTGAAAACCAAGTTTCGCGCAGATAGTACGTCGCAAAGGGAATGAGGATCTTTGAAGCTTTAGGACTTAGAGGTAGATACTAAATTTTGATTGAAATCCAAAACTTCTAATTAAATTCTCTTCATCTTGCGAATGAAAAGCATCTGAGATTCAACATAAATTTCTCTACATTATGTTCCGCAATGTATTTTGCGAACCGGACAGTGAGTTTTGAAAGGTGTTTCATGAAAAGGAACAGCAATTCCTATAGAATGAGAACTTTATTAGAAGTTGTGTACTAGTGCAACGTAGAAAAACGATCTTGAGCACCACCTTCATTCAATTGTTTTACTCACAACTTCAGCTTTCTCCTAAACAGTGAAATTTTTCCTACAAGTTTCAAGAAGTAGTGACAGACTCAAAAACAGACAGATTCCATGTAGCGACATATTCAAGAACTTTAGTTTGTGAAAAAAGCCACCCTAATATTCTAGTGTGAGCAGAAAGTTTGGTTCGGCAAAATTCTGAGCGAACGCATGGCCTTCCTCTTGCAGAAAAGTGTGAAATTCTTGATGTCGTCTGAAAGCACGAGACTGGAAGTTGTCACGCGAAAGCCATCGTGAACTGAAATAGTATAGCACAGCCGTGAGTCAGCTTCCATATCCTTGCACAGGTTTTTGAAAAAAAAAAAAAAAAAAATGCTTTCAGCGGTCTAGTTTTTATGTAGTTTCCTACGTTTATGAAACATTCTAATGCCATACTTAATTGAGGACTAAGTGACTTCGATGCAAAAGGCTGCCAGTAAATAATGCAGTGGGTCTACACAGCATGCGGTGTTTTGCTGCAAATAAATGCCTGTAGTCCCGCCTAGTGATGGTAAATTGATTGAGCACTAGCACTACATACACAGATGCATTTTTTCCAATCTAAATCATTTTCCTTGGAATTCAAGATGGCGGATAAAGAGCTTGACGCGTTTTACACGTCTCTTGAAAAACATTATGATACTATCAACACAGCACTTGCATCTAAATGTAATATGAACGGTGAGCTGCGTGAACATGCTAGGACGGCTTTGGGTGAGTTAAAATCTCTTATAATTAAAAATTTTGAAATATTACAATCTGCTAATTATCGCGAAGCTTGTGTGGCAAGTTTGAAAACCTCTGTTATGAGACCTTCTTATGCTGAGGTGGTATCGCCATCTAGGGGAGAAAATGTAAACAAACAGTCAAATGATTGTAATTTGCTTGTTTCGGCAGCTGCTGGATTGGAAAACTTTACATCCCTTGATGTTAAAAAACTTTTGAAGGAAAAAATTAATCCGACAGAAAAGAAATTAGGTATAAAAAATATTAGGACGATTTCGAATAACAGAATTTTAGTGCAATGCTCTTCCTCAACTGATCGTGATAAACTAAAAGATGAAATCAACAACAAACCTGAACTAATTTCTTCTCTCCAAGACAGAAAAATCCTGCTCTACTTATTAAAAATGTGCCAAATGAAATTGATGATAAAGATGTATTAACTGTTCTCTTTGATCAAAATCCTGACATTTTTTATGGTTATGAATGTATTAATGACACGAAATTCTGTTTTACTCTTAAAAAATTCCAAAACTCAAAGCATATCATTGTCGAAATGAAACCCGAGCTATACAGAAAATGCCTACCTTTGGGGTATTTGCATTTTGAGTGGTCGGCTTGTAAAGTAGAGGAGTTTATCATAATAAATAGATGCTTTAAATGCCTTGGCTATAATCACAAAGGAGCTAACTGCAGAAATTCTGTTGCTTGCTTCAAATGTGCAAAAGAACATAAAAGTGAGCACTGCCAAACTCAAGAAACCCAAGCTTGTGTAAATTGCATTTGTTATAATAGCAAAATCAAGGATGTTGGCAAGAAAGTTATGTCAAGCATAAGCCTTTCTCGGAAAATTGTCCTTCTCACATTTTTATGAAGAATAGAATAATTTCTCAAATTAATTATGGCTAACTTTCCCATTTCTGTTCTTAAAATTATTTAACTTAATCTTCATCGTTCAAAAATGGCTACTCAGCAGACTTGTGTACAGACTTGTGTTCATGCAGTTTCGAGGGAGTGCAAAATGTCGAACATTTGTTGTTCTATTGTTTAAAGCTCAAGGAAGGACGAAAGGAACTCATTTCTAAGTTAAACTCTGTGAATATTACATTTCCTTCCCCTCTTCATGTTTTTGTCCAACATAAAATGGCTTTCTCTTTTTTCTGTAAATTTATCTCTTACGTATCATCTGTGAATTTGTAAGTTTATTTTATTTTGTTTGTGTTGTTGTATTTTTTTTTTTTTTTACTTACCTCTGTAAGCCTTGTGT